CGCCGGCGCCGCCGAAGAAGCTGCGCCGCGCCACCATGGGCGTACTGCACGCGCCGTGCACCCCGGGCACCGCCTCCTTGCCCGGGCCAGGCCCAGACCCGGGCCCTGTCCCTGCGCCCGCAAGCAAACAGGTACCACTGCTTTAGAATAGGTAATACCTCGAGCGCTTTGGAAATTGTCGAGAAATCTCCGGCTCACGAAGCGAGGAGGGGACTTACCTGAGAATTTCCAAATCACGAGTGGTATTTAATAAAACTATTCCACGAATGAAATTATGTCCAACAGAGTTCCAAAACGCGCCAAATATTGAAAATAACTGAAAGCATGTTGTAATCAAAATGGTTATGTTAAAGTACCAACGCGGTTTATTCCACATCAACCCTGCGATCGATACATACCGCCTCCTAAGATAGATGAGTCCCCTAGTTGCCCTGATAGTAGGGAGGGGCGGTAAAAAAACGGATAGAAAAGCTATAAATATTTTTAGATACACCGCCCTGATTGGAATATTTTATATGTATATTTCAACACTATTGGCTTTTAACTTCACAAGTGGAACAGTCATCATTAATAAAATTGGGCAATGCCCGGCAGCAATAAAATGTACAATTACAAATCTTAATATATTAGCTTGATACCAATTGTGAATAATTTCTAGCCCATCTACAGAAGTAGACAAAGGCTTGTTTGAAAGCTTGGGAAGCCTGTTTCACAAAATACTTGTTCAAGGGTATTTACCACCATTTAAGTTCTCTATAAAGTCTGTCGAGTGTTAGTAAAAGTATAATCTACATTACCAGTCTACCTTTTTGCCTACTACCCAAGTAGTAAAAAGAAAGAATGGTATTGCTGCAAAAAACAGCGATTTGTCAGAACAATTTGTATTGTCGGTTCCTGATTTCGAAAACAAGGATAATTTTTGCTCCCATGTAAAATTACTTCATATATTACAAGTCAAAATCCATATTTCAAGGGTTGATAATATCGAAAAATTGGTTTATGCCAAAACGTCAGTCTATCTATCGTCTAAACCAAAGAATTTTCCCCAAAATTGATATCCCCCCCCCCCTCATCGAACTGGCAGCAGGCAAGCGAATTTGACATGGATATTTTAACTTTTAGGGGCACTTTACATAAAGCCTCAACATTTTCAAAATTGTCTCAACAATGGATTTGGGTTTTCTCAACTTTTGCATTTTTTTCTGATGGATAGAGTAATGTATGCTTGTACAAATGAATCTAATTGCCAATAAATTTTTAAAATTTTCGAAAATTGCAAAAGTTTTCATTGTTTTGGCTCCTTCCTATGACTACAATATATTTTCTCACATCTGCAAACTTTTTTCTATTTTTTTACTCGAAGTCATCCAATTTTCATTAAAGTCACTGCATTTTCAAACATCATCATGGGTAGGTTGTTTTCCGACCCAGGCGTTCAATCTAGAAGTTATGGTCTTAGGTTTAGCAAGCTAAGAACCTCACTTTGTTTGTAACTGTGAGCAAATATTTGAACGAGCTCAAGAATTTTAATCATGTGTAGCCATTATATATAATGTCAAAATATACATACTGTTAAAGCACTACTAATTTACTTTTTTATTTCAATTTTTCATTCAATTAAAGTTTTAATACAAATATGCTGACTTTAATAGTTGTTATATGTCAATTTTTGATTAATTTCTTTACAGAACCACAGAACCACTCTTCACCTTCATGGGCTTATTTTTTAAAATCTTGTAATATAGAAATACCACCAAAAATCATAATACTACAAAAGACAATATAATTCATTATAACTCAATATTATATCAGTGCAAATACATAGACATTACAATATGTCACCCACAACTATACAAACAATATCATCCTCATCTAAAGCACTTTTGTCCTTGATGGAAACTGAGGTGCAGATACTTTTCAAACTTTCAAGTGGGCTAATTCAATGAAATTATTTTGTTTATTCTTTTTTATTTCTAATGAATCTTATAATTCAGACAATTCACTTCATAATTAAAACTTTTTAATTCATGAAATGATACATACTTGTAAATGAAGTGTTTGAATGATTTAATGTGCATTTATTTGTATAATATATAAACCTCTAATTGATAGTGAAAACAAAATTAAGTAATAGAAATTCTTACATGTTCTACAACAAATCATATATCTATAACATTTAATGAATTCCAATGTACTGTTAACGTTGTTGTACAGCAGACCAATAACGTACAAATCTTACACATAATGGTTTCCATGGATCACAGCACTGCAATGAAAGTACAGTGATGACTGATAAGTACAATGTGATTGTTAATTTTAAGATAACAGTGTTCCCCATCGAGTGTATATGTTATATATTATGATAACAGTTCTGTGGAATTACATTCAGCAATATTTGGTCTCCTTTAATATAGTATATTTGTTGGTGAAAACTTCCTTTTTTCTGTTAGAGACCAAAAAAATAGATATAAGGTTAATATACAGCATAGTAATCAACATATACAAAATTTTGAATATTTTGAAAATTTATGTTTCACTAAATTTTGAACCAACTGTATTTCTCTTCTTTATTTTTAGTATTTTTAACTTTTTGTTGTAAAAATGTTTTTTTATGAGTAGAATGACATTTTGTACTTTCTGTGTTATGCTGTATTTTATACTTCTCATTTTAAAATACTTTTATAATTAAAATGGACTATTTACAATTGTCTATGTTGTACAATGTATTTTAATTACCTTGCTAAATAACAACATTATCTCTGATTCTTGCTACTGAAATTTTGTAAATTTTTAACAAATCATTTTTGCAACTATCTCTTTGTAATTTATTTTTACAACTTTTAAGAAATTAGCTTCATGCATACCTATCAGTAAAGCTAAATTAAATATGGTAGAACTATTTACAAGCCTGGAGAAAGTAAAGAACTCTTTACAAAATGCAAGACAAAATAGTGCAAATTCAGAGATTGAATGGCTTGTTTAAGTTTTCAGTAAATTACAAAGTTTTAAAATTTTTTACATTTTAATAGTCATAATTTTAAAAATGAATCCATTGTACAGCAGAATACATTACTGAAAGATATATTTTTCAAATTCTGATCTTATCAATAACAATAATGTACCTTAAAAAATATATTTTAGAAAGAATTTTAGGAAGTGAAAGCAACGACTTTCCAAAAAGCCAAAACTTTCTGACAAACACAAATTCTAAATTATTTTGCTGTTGGTATAAAGCCCAAATATATGATTCAACCAAACTTTGTATTAACAAAAAGACTGGATTTTGATTTTGGGAATAGTTTTGAAAAAAATATCATTAATCATTAATAATTGTTAAATTATCCAGATTTTTTCATTCCCGGATATTGCTCATGTGTTTATTAATGAAATCTGTAACCTTTGACATGAATTGCAGTGTAATAAATTTAAAGAAAACATTACTTGACAAAATTCTTGAAAATTCATTTGGAAATAAGACACAAATTCAGCAGCATCTGCAATCGAGTTATTTGTTTCTTACCACCAGTCAAAGCAGCTTCCATTTCGTGTAGAAGGTGGCTGGTGTGAGGATCAAGTGTCTGACGAGGGACTGGAATCTGGATTGGTGTCTTGCGAAGTGGGAGCTGAAAACTGCTCACTGGAGATGTAATCTCATTGTTAGATTCTTGATGTGCTATCTGCAAATCAAAAATAATTTTTTATGTAAGTGACCAAATAAATTCATAAAGAACTGATTTCATTATCAATAACATTTTTATAATAAAAAATAGAAGTTGGTACTAAATAACTATGTATTTCAACTTCTAAACTGTTAAAAAGATCACAAGAAAGTTTTTATTTTCTTGGGATGTTATAAATCAGACAAAGAATATGAAAAAATAGGAATAATTGCATTTACAAATCTTACTTCAATTTTTAGGGAAAATATCAGAAAATATTATTTAAATTCATTCACTAGGTAAACATAGTTTATCTTTTACAGAGAGTTAAATATTTTCAATTTGTCCTCTAAATTACAATATTTATTAATGTCAACTATCCAAGCCGTAATATTGACATTTATCCATTAAACCAAAATAATTAAAAACAAAAGCAATATTTAAAGTTTGAATAGGATTTGTTTTGCAAGATTTTATAATTTTATCAGTTTACAAAAAATGAATTTGGGATTATAATTTACATATATGATAATTATTTTTAATGTTTTCATACACTTCAAATATATTGGTCCATGATCAGTGTTTGAAGAACTTATTTTAAAATGATGTTGACAGAAATGGAATAATTTTCTTTACAAAATTATATTTCATTGGACATTTCATCAATTCTTTTTCTCAAAGTAAGAACCATGTATTTTTAAAGTTTTAATTTCAACATTCAGAATATTCTATATCTCAGATTTGCATGCTCTGAGATTTAATATTTTACTCTTTTTTTTAGCCCATGCTAAATCTTTGAAGCCATTAATGTCAGGAAATGGTTTTACTTCAGTGTCAATAAATGGTGCATTAACACACACATTCTAGTACTTTATTTGAAGGTAAAAAATGTTCAAGGAAATTCAGCAGTTATTGAAAATGTTATCCAGAAATTTTATTTCTAATGATTGTGTTTGTTCTTCAAATGCTTCTAAAACAATAACATATTGTTTATTTTTATATTCAAATTAAAGTATATATGTGAATAATACAACTGCATAGAACCTAGTATCTTGAATTGTTACATTTTTTATCTTCATTTCTTTTATAATTCAAGTTGTGCACAGTGTCAATGTAATGAAAAGCTACCTTTCTCACTTTGAAAATTAAGGAATTTATAAAGTATACATTTGTTGAAGGAAGTGTCTTCATAGCTGAGGGTTAATCGGACTACTAAATGAATTATTTTCTATCATATAACCATCAAAGCAGGTTTTTCTTTTGTAAATATATAATGACTTTGTATTTAATTGTGGAATATATGAATGAAATATAATCCCTGTATTTTTGACTGAAATAAATTCAGCTCATAAGTTATAATTGTTTGTTAATTTTTTATCACCTAGAAATTAATTTTAAAAGAGTATTAAATTCGAAAATGAATTTGTTTTTTCCCCTGATGATTATGATGAGATAGAATTATTTCAGAAAATTCACTTTCATTTTGCATCCACATTATTAAATCCATGAAAGAAATACAATTTGAGTACAGAGATGTACAGTCTGCTTTCGAAAGGTATTAGGTCTTTGTATAAAAAAGTTTGTTATTTTAAGATTACAAAATGTATTTCAAATTAAAATATTATCACTAGTATATAAATAAGTGACAGATGAATATATCTCAAGACTGAAAATCCTGTGTGTATATATAATATTTCGATATCAAAACACTATTTATTATTTCTTGAAAATTATTTTAATTATTCTAACACTGTAGATCCAAATGAAATATAACCACAGAAATGAAATTGTAAATTTGGTATTAACTGTAGGAATTAAAATTGTTATTACTATATAATTTGTTTAAAAGAAACCTTATTATTAAAACACATAGCAGTAATCTCTAAAATATTTACCCTTATCACATAATATTAATAATAATAATAACAATAATAATAATAATAATAATAATAATAATAATAATAATAATAATAATAATAATAATAATAATTGTTAATGGTTTTTTGATCTTTCTAACAAACTGCAATGAAATATACGGATACTGTCAGTAAGAGAGCTGTATATCATTTTACAAAACACTAAATGAAAGATTAAAAGTCACGTAATCACAATGAATACAGCAGCATTCTGAATTTAAAGGCATCTTGTCAAGGTTGAATTAATGAACATATGTTTTGCCATTTGTACTCGAATACAAAGAAAAGAAATGCACATATACATCACAATCTTTCATGCAAAGCAATCTTAGATGATGAATGTTAAAACATATATACACCTACAGAAGCAGACCAAAGAATTCATAAGATGTATCTGTCACATTGATTTGTAGTCCTATATGTTTCTGGCTTCCAATGTATTACAGAACAAAGCAGAAAGTCATAACAGTCAAAATCTGTAAGTTAGTGCATGGTTTGGGACATTAGTGCAAGCAGTGACCAGCAACCCACCACACATTGGATGCCAGGAAGTACCTGAAACTCGGTGTTTGCATCCACCACCGTTGCCAGAGCTGCAACTTCCTCCGCCTCCACAGAGGTCTTGGAAGCAGCAGGGTCATAGGAGCCTAACTCCAATCGAAATTGGTAACTGGGATTATCCATGATTTAATGAGGGATTCTCTCATAATGGCCCCTGACTCCACAAGTTTTTCTTTTCTTTTTTCTATGATAATAAACTCTCCTTCTGGAAGATTAAAGTAAATCACTAGCGGAAAAAGTGAAATGATTGTATACATATCAGCACAATTAGATTGGACATAAAAGGTGGATTATAGAGGGAAACCACTATTCATAAGTTAAAAATATAGAACACAGTAGAAGGAAGCGATCAGTCATTTTTTATGTGCTTTCGCAAACTAATAATAGATGGGTAAATATTATATTTTTAATTACATACAAAATTATATTTTTCTCTATTATTTTCTGCAGATCAAGAGCTCTTAAAATTATCTTCAAAATGTGATATTGTAGACATTTAAATTAAGTATTAAATTATATTTTTCAAGACAGTGAAAATAAAAAATAGTTTCAAGTTAATTTATTTCAATCAGTATGAAGATGTTTAAAGAATTTCACCAATTGAAAAAGTTAATGCTAAAAATTAATTTCTAACTGAAATTCAAAATAATGTCTCTACTTTTTTTAATCAATCTAAATTTATTTATGCTGCATAGATAAATAACACATTTTCAACACTCAGAAGGAAATAGTGATGTTATTGGCTATTAAAAATTGGAATTCTAAACGGTGACGAAGCGGAAAGAACGTTTATTGTTAAGTTACAACCCTACAATGTGCGTTCTAACACCCCTTCATAGTGTCACGGTACCCCAATCCCCCCACCACTTAAACCCCTTAGCTGCCCCAACTGCAGCCTCGTGTTGTCTCGCGGCCTCAGCTGCCCCACCGGGACCTTCGCGGCGGTACAGCAGACGGCTTGTTGTCACGTCCCACTTTAAAGTTTAAAGCACATAACCTCTAGCGTGGGAGGCAGTTTCGGTATTGAGCTCCTGCGCTCGTGAAGTGTGTCAGCCAGTCAGTCAAGCATGTCAACGGAGAAATCAGTAATCTCACAGAGTAGGGTTGTCCCTCCTTATCTTCGAGAACTGTGAGCTAATGTGGCAGACAGGTGGTTACTCGAGATGTCAGGGCACATGGACCACAGATCCCTGGTGCCCTACCTCAGAACGTTACGGGGACAAGTGTCCACCCACGCAGCTGAACATGGACAGAGAAAAAAGGGGGCGGAGGCCCCGCAGGGACTGTCACTCTCACGGTCCAGCTGACACGAATCGCCCAACCACTTACGTGCTACGCAGAGCAGCTCTCCCGTCCGGAGCCAGGAGCCTGGAGCCCTCCGCCCGTGAAAGCGTGCGAGTCGCAGAGGATCCGGCTCCCGGCCTCACCCGGATCGCTCACGCACAAAAAAATATTCGCGAAGCTGCACCACACACGCTTACTCACTTCCCTACGTGGCTCAATCCCCTCCCCCACCCCTGGGCGACCGAGCGACACGCAGCAGCCGCCTGCCCCGCTCCGCTGGGCGGTGACGTCAGCGGAGTTGCGTCACGCGAGCCAGCGTCTACGGCTCGCCCCACGCAGCGGCCGCGCCGTTAGTTCGCCGGAGTGGATCCCAGCGATCGTTCGCGTTCGCATGATGAGGTCAGGTTGTACCTGTGCTCCCGCACGAGCTTCCATCGAGCGCCGATGGATAGCGCTGGTCGCCTTGTTGCTGGCGTGGGGCACGGACGGCGGTGCTGCGCCGCGCGGTTTCCCGTGCAACGAGAGCTGGGTCGTGCGCACAGACGACGAAGTCCAGGTGGAACTTCGCGTACCGCAGGCGCGGGTGGCGTGGGACCCTTGCGACGCGACGTGCGTGTGGCGCGTGAGGGCCACCGAGGAGTGGGAGTGGCTGTCGCTACGCTTTGCACGGCCCTTCGAAGGCCCCGACATAGACTTCGTCCCCGAGGGTGAAGCCTCGAACGATGGAAGCAGGGTACGGTCGCGAAAACCGAAGGGAACAACTTTCCCCATGATCGGCATATTGCTAACAAATGCGCCAAGTTGATAAAATGTTCCGGATTAGAAATAATGATCCTAGAATATTACACCCAAAAATGTTTGCTAGTTACGAAGATGAACCTTGAAATTGAAGCGCAGGCGCCTACATCCGAAACTCTACTGAACTTTTTATTACTCGCACTTTTTATTACTCTTGAAATGATCAACCATGGCTGATGAAATACCGAAATATTGCTTGAATGAATTTAGGAATATACTCGTGAATGCTCTCGCTGATTAACAATATTTTGACAACGCCGTAAATATCCATCTTTCATCTAAAACATAAATTAAACCAGCTCTGATAACTAATATCTACAATGTTCCGCATTGGAAATTTATCACGAAGCAAGGTCTAGTAAATAGCTCAAGAAACAGAAGTGTTGGTAGTATATAGTGGCACTTATCGGAGTGTTTTGGGGGATTGATCCTCTGCCACCGATGTAATTCGTCCCGACTGTTACTAATGAGAACATTATGACAGACGGTGCACAATGTTCGTTGCGCCTTCTGATACACTCGTTTTAAGTGTTGAATAATGTGAATTCGTATTCGACAATAGGGGACTCTCGGAAAAGTCAATTTGAAATGGACTGAATGACACGCGTACTTTATTTTCAATCGGACAATTTATGCATTCTGTAAAGGATGGTATTAACTTTTAACTTCTGGCAAGTCAACATTTTATTTAATATGTACTAAATGTTAATTTCTCTCTCGAGGATCCGCCTATTGGTAAAATGCTTTCGTTTAGTACTACAATAGTAATTAATTATTCTATTCCTCGTGGCATTCGCAAATCACACTACTCCTGACTTGTATGGGAATGAGTTGTGAGCTAGGTAGTTATCGCTTTTCAGCTATTACTCTGAGATTTGTTAACTTTTACTTGCAAACTAATAGATCAAAGTAGCATTTTGTGGGTTGCTATGAAATATTAGGCATAACAAAGAAAATTGGAGCGATAAGAGTTTACATGTTTGTCTCGTTTATTGTGAATGACCCCCAAAACCATGAACTTGCAAGTATCCAATAATTCCAACAAAAAAAATATGCCCAGCTCGTTCGATAGTGTTTTTGGTACAAACATTTCAAAAAGTCAGCTGGATTGACACTGCTCATAATCGTCTCGACCATCAACATTCGTCGAACTCGCGAGTATTCACCGTACGAAAGCTTTAGATACTAGTTACGTAAAAATCGTTTTCTTCACATCCGTTTAAATAAGTTTTAACTTAGTATAAAACTAATTTTGTAAACTTCTATAGATTTCATTGAGAACGTATATTGTGAAATTTAGTTTGTAAAATGCATTATGTTGTTACAAACTGAAAGTGAAAATATTGCTTTTTAAGTTTAATCGCACAAAAAAGGTTTTCATTAAAATGGGGCCAAAGTGGACCCTTACATGATACAATCAAAATGCCAAAATACATGGAATCGAAAATGCAAATGATTACTTACTTCGTCCTTGTAAGCATCCGAATGGTTGCTTCACGTATAGTCTCGCGTAATTTCGTACACTTCATAAAATGGATCAGCGCAACACAAATTTGTATCAATGTGAACTTCATTAGCAATATAGTTAGTAAAACTAATAATTGAAACAAAGTGATAGTTGAAAACACCGTTTAGTTACTTTGTGTTGGATAAGTTTTCAGGAAAATCGTGACAAAGAAGCATTTACAAAGAGGAATGATGAATAAAATAACAAGTTACAAGGCAATATGAACTAGTTTGCAAATTGAGATGCTGTTTTGCAATAGTTTATTTACTCAAACAGTATCCATGGAAATGTCAGGATACAAATAACTTTATTTCTTATTTTAAAAGAAGGATGCGTTCTGTGCTTATGCACTTTTTTGTTTGAAGCAAATATGCTGTAATTTGTTCTCTTTACATAATACCATTGTTGTTTTCAACATATGAATGCGGTAATCTGTTGGGCGGAAAACAGAATGTATATATTTGCTTTATGAAATTCAGATCAAAAATCAAGGGTAACATTATCTAAATATCATGTGTTTAATAAAATATGCTGAAAACTGCTAAATGCAATCTTTTTTTCACTAAAGATTGGCGGACATACGCCTGAAAAGGAATTGAATGAAAGAATAAATGATTAACCCTTTTGGAATGAAAACAATGCAATGTTAATCCATTTCTAAGATTTGAACGTAAAAAACTATAAGTTATATTAAAATAAAAAATTTAAACCACTGATAATTGGAAAGATTTCAAACGGTATTTTGATCGCGTTTTCTGATTTGGTGACTTGCTGATATACATTTGGGGGAAATGCATACCTCCCTGAAACGTCTTATTTTCAACAGTTTCTGGGTTGAATTGTTTAGGAATTATTCATAGCGGCTAATAGTTTAAAATTTGTAGTAACCAATTATTGTTCATTATTTTTTCAAATTTTAAACTGTTACTTCTTCATATGGCTAGAGATAGATTCGGCTGGGCTGATAGTTATTGTAAGGCGATGCGATGAATGAGCGACCCTCCCTGCAGGGCAACTCCGCCGCCAGCAGCAGGAGCAGCGAGGACAAGGCCGAGGGCGGCGGCGAGGGGGGCGCGCCCTTGCACTTGGAGCTGGAGGTTCGTTGGCCGCGACCCGACGGCTCCTGGCTCCGCACGCAGCTGCGAGACTACTCTCTGGAAAGCGTTTCGCGCATGCGGGTATGGTGCATGCGCTTTCTCGTAATATGCGTATCTTCATAACATTGTTAGACTGGGTTAGGTACAGTATGGTATAATCAGTTGTACACCATAAACAGCAGTTTTGCACTTATGACTCCCGGTAGTAGATAAAATAAACAAATAACCTATTTAATTATTTCATTGTTTTTATTACATATTCAAGTGTTTATTAATTTTTTACTTTTATTGTCAAGATATTAATTAAATTGTTGCCTATTGAAGTGTTGAATTTCCTGCTCAGATATTCCGTATGTTATAGCAAATTCAAAGTGATCATGTATGGTAAGCTTGGAGCTGTTCCTTTTAGGCAGTTTTCATGGCAGAAATGATTACTTTTATAACTGCATTCTTTGGAAAGAGGGTTAGTGCACAAGAAACAGGATCGGTTCCAAGAATTGTCATTTTCCTGGAGAACTGTTTTAAATTGAGCGCAATCGTTTATTTCACTACCAAAAGCAGTTAAATTCTCCATACTGGTTGTACGTGAACTGCATTCGGCATTTTCACGAATAAACTATCATATTCAATTAATGTACTTAAATCATTACTTAACTCAAAAATGACACTTTCAAGATGTCACTTTTCTTTTTGCACTCTTAATTTTACTTTTTCGTTTATCTTCTTTTTCTTTTCGTAAATTTGTTGTATGTTGGATAATGTCATATAGTTCAATTGCATAGTACTTTTTCATATGCTGTGATGCTTACGATATAAATTCTTATACGTAACTACTTTTCTCGTGATATAGCAAACTAAAAGAGTCCTTACTATTAACAATTACTGGGGAAAATTTAGGCTTCAAAAAGAATCTGTTTTCAGTACTTGCTGGGAAGTCATTTAATGAGGCCAGGTTGTAATGGACTGCTTGTTTATTGTATTTAGGTTAGAGTAAAAATTATTAGAGACGAGGGTGATATGTTATATATGAAGATCGGTAGTATATTTAATTTTTTTATGAAGTTGATGTTTGAAATTAATTACAGAGAATGTGTTGCTAACTTTAGGAATCTATTTTGTAATATTTGAAATTTATTAATGTTTGAAATTGGTGCGTTGGTCCAGATGGAATGAGCGTACACCATTAAGGGTTTATTTCCCTCTGACCGGGCCTTGGGTGGATCAGGGCATAAATCAATGTTACTGCAGTGCCTCTGAACGGAAGGTCCTAGGTTCCAGCCCCGACGGTGGCAGGATTTTCGACACTAGATATATAGCTGGCTGGAGGAGAGTTGTAGCGGCCGGATGCTCTGATCGGTAGTTTTCCGTGGTTTCTGCGTTCAACACCAGGTGAATGCCGCAGCAGTACCCTAACAAATGGGCCACGGGCGGCGCCAGATCAGTCCTTTCTCTTCCTTGTCCTACCCTCACCCCCTTACTTACACATACACTTACACACATTCACAACACTACGACACACGCCGGGAGATCCCAGCTGGGATGGCTGGTGGGAGATACCTATTTAGGGAAAACCACGCTAGCCGTTGTAGAGGCGGGTGCCGGATCTCACCATCCAGTGGGAGATCACCATATCCCGCGATAGAAATCCTGCACTACAGTTAGACAAATGACCTAACTGTTTACGCGTCTGGAAACACTAATACATCAATTAACTAGAGTGGAGGGCGATATGTTTGATGATCGGTGTTGTATTTAATGATTTATAAAGATGGTGTTTAAAATGATCCGCGAGACATACGTTGCTATTCTGAGGAATCTATTATGTAGAACTTGAAGTTTATTAATGCTGGAAATTGACGCTTAGTCCAGATGGGACATTCATGGGTTCCTTTCCCTTTTTTAAATTTTTAAAAATTTTTTTAAAAGTTTTTCTTGGCCCGAAGACTCTCAGGAGCAGAGTATGATGCATCGAACTATATTAACATTGTTTAGGAAACATGGTTGACAGATGACTTCATTGAGTACACGGGCACAATAAGTAGATTTGATGTTTGTGGATTAAATGTGCGAAGCCACATCAGGTACAAGATCAGAGGGTCGAAGAGCTGTCGCGGTAGTTTCCGCTTCAGTCTATTGTGTTAGATTTTGTTTCCCGATTTTGAAATGTTCGGCTGAGGGGAATCTGGGAGATTTTGGGTTTGAAGCGAGAGGATATGAGGGAGAAACTGACGGAGATGGGGGAATGCCGAGTTCGTTTGACCGGTTGTGCGTTTGCGTCGGTGCAAGGTGCCGGCGTCGCGCGCGGAGCTGACCCTGCGGGACCCCTCGTGCGCCGAGGAGCCCCCAGCCTCCGGCCCCGCCCCCGCCCCCTCGCCGCCCGCCCGCAGTGCGCCGCCTGCGGTGGGCGTGGGGCCCACGCGTCGCGCGCCGCCGCCTCCGCCCCTTCCGCGCGCTCGCCGCCGTGCTGCACCTCGCGCCCCGCCCCCGCCCTGCAACTGTCGCCGCCTCCTGGCGGGCTGCTTCGCCGTCGCCTGCGTCTCCCTGCTTCGCCCCCGGCCTCTGGAAAGGCACGGGGTCCTCTCAATACTATGACAAATTCGGCTGCCCAAAATAGAGGACAAGTAATGTATCTTTACGGTTATAGACAAGAGGCTCACTAAAATATAAAGCAAAATTCATTTAATGCTCACCCATTGGAGCAGAAAAAATCAATTTCCAATTTGATGAAAATAGTCTAAATAGTTAAAAAAGTTGGATTACATAGAAAAACATCGAACAATCAATGTAATAGACTAGCGTGGCCACTTAATACATTATCCTTCCATGTACTGTGAAGCTGCACTGAAGAGTAGGCCTTTGATTACCACTTTTCCAAGTGATGTTCTCACATATTTTTAAGGTATTTTTTTTCTCTTTCTACATGTTAGAGAATAAATAAAATGTTATAACGCAGTGATCACGAAAGACATCAGCGTTCATTCTATGCTTTGTAGTTGGAAAGCCATGTAACCACTCATGCTCTCTATTACACCATAAGATTTTATTTATATTTCCAAAAGAAACTGGTACCCAACAAGCAAACATTCAGAAATTCATATATAATTGTAATCTACAAGCATTAGAAAAACAATTTAAACTACGTGTGGGTTATAACATTTGTTGCCGAACACAAATCTGCAATGTAGTAGTGTAATTAAAACAATGCAAAGGTTTCCAGTTCATAGAGCACACGCTCATGTTTACCACCATATGATTTTGTATGGGAACATTGATACATTATATCTATTTACATGAAGTCGTGAAAGGACTTGTAACTTTAAACGCAATTGTAGTAACGATGGCAGGAGTGTTGAGCTTGAAGAAGCGTAATCAAATAAGTACTGCTTCTTGCGAGTTTTTTCACCATTTTTAAATTTTTAACAAGAATAAGTACAATAAATTTAACTCCATTTGCGTTGCAGCTGCCAGACTGCGCCGCGCACCCTCGAGGAGACTGCTCGTCCTGCGCGCTGCGCCGCCGCTCCACCGCCCCGGCTCCGCCGCCCTCCGTCGCTCGCGTCTCCTCGTGCCTTCCACGGTAGGGGTCATCCCCGTTCGTCATCTCTTGCCCGTTCGCATTGCCCGTTCGCATTGCCCCTCGTTCTTGCATTGCCCGCGGGGATTCGCATTGCCCGTTCGCATTCCGTTCGCATTGCCCGTTCGCATGCCCGTTCGCATTTGCCCTCGTTCGCCATTGCCGTTCGCATTCCTTCGATGCTTCGCATTGCCGTTCGCATTGCCCGTTCGCATTGCCTTCTTGCGTTATCGCATCCTTCGACCCGTTTCGTTTTCCGCGCATCCTCCTGCCCGTTCGCAGTTGCCCGTTCGCATGCCCGTTCGCATTGCCCTGCATGGTCGCATTGCCGTTCGTTCGCATTGCCCGTTCGGCATCCTCATGCCCGTTTCGCATTGCCCGTCGGTTCGTGATTGCCCGTTCGCATCTCGCATTGCCGTTCGATTCCCGTCTGCTTGCCGCATTGCCGTTTCGCAGCTTCGCATTGCCCGTTCGCAGTTGGCCCGTTCGCATTGCCCGTTCCTGCCGTTGCCCCGATTCGCATTGCCCGTGCGCATTGGCCCGTTCGCATTGCCCGTTCGCATTGCCCGTTCGCATGCCCGTTTCGCATGCCCCGTTCGCATTGCCCTGTTCGCATTGCCCGTTCGCATTGCCCGTTCGCATTGCCCGTTCGCATTGCCCGTTCGCATTGCCCGAAAAAAATTCCCATGAACGTGATAAAATGAAAACAAATATTACAATATTTCATCCAAAATTAAGGTCCGCATTAAATAAGTATTTATATGGTACTTGGATGTAAAGGAGTCATTGCCTCATTAACTACAAATCTAGCAGCGCACGATTCTCATAACATCCAATCATGTAATTCATTTTATCTCAATTAACCTCACCCTCGACATCTGTAATATGGTCCGTATGTTTGGCGAGGCAACACTGCAAAAGCCAAAACTTCGGAGTTGCTGATGCTTAGGTTACGGCTTAGGTTACCCCATGGTGTCAATCACAATTTGCTGATCCCGAGTTACGGTGCACCTTAGTCTAGGTTCCTCTATTACTGTGCCTTAACGTGATCAGCTTCTCTCGGTGCGCAGGAATGTTATCTTTCACCAGACCGAAATCGTTTATTTTATTTTGAGAAACATTTGATTTCACAATTACTTATCAGTTGACAATATTATACTGATTTTACAATTTATAACGTCATGGACGCTTTTAACGCAAATCACGGGGAATTAAAAGGCGCGTTACTTTTTTAAATATATATTTATTTACTATTCCCTTTAAAGAAATTATCTTAAGTGTGTTCCCTTTAAAGAAATTCCCATAAAAGGGAGGGAGATACATAAAACAGCGTGAGCGCTGAAGCGACAGTGGAGGCGCGAACCAGGTCTCCAGAGCTCGGGCCGAAAAGCCCTCGCGAACTTTGCATCGCACTTTGGATCCGTCTTGTAGCACGTCGTGGACCACTTGGTCTCAAAATGCATTGGTTATAAAATTGCTTGGCAATGAAATAAAATTTCTAGCGTAAAAAATACTAATACTGCACTGAATGAAAGCAATTTTTCTAAAACTAGTGTTTAAATGTACCATATAAATCATGAATCATTTCTATCTATCGTTCATGACACAAGAATTAGAAGTGAACGATACACACAGTAGTATTAAGGAGGCCGTGACAGCGAAGGCCGTCAAGGCAGAGGTGCTCCGTGAACGCGGGATTAACCTCTAATTTTAATCGCAGAGTAGTTATGGCGCGTGCTTCTGCTTGCGTCGAGTTCGTGTGACGCGATGCGCGCGTTGCAGCCTTCATGCGCACGTCGCGGCGCAACCTGGAGCTGGAGGAGCGGCTGCCGGACGAGATGGACTGCGGGACGCCCAGCGACTTCAAGTGGCCGCGCGGCAGCCGCGGCTACAACGTCGCCTGGTCGACGCACGAGTCGGGCGGCAGCACCACCGTAAGTCGCCCGGGAGGGCCTGTCACAAACAAAACGTTCACGCAGACGTGATTGTTAGATATTTTAGTTATTGATTACATTAGTTATGTTTCCGCGCGCGTCAACGCATATGGTCAATTGCACCGTTAATGAATGGCATGTTGTATCCCATGAGGTAGCTGTGTCCTTTCCCCGATATTTTGCGATTCCGGAGCAGACATAACGTTCACGCAGATATGATTGGTTATATTGGTTCCGTACGCGTCAACTGTTATGGTCGATAGGCCCGTAAATTTAAAGAATTTTGTAATCCATAAGGATATCTGTGCCCTCGCCTTCCCAGATATTTCGTGAGCCTTCAGCATGGCATTCAGTGTTCGACGCACCTGCGCCACCGAGGCCGGTACCCGAATATGTTGGAAGGAAAATAATATGAAGTTTCGACCTCTCGCGTATAAAATTAGATTTTAGATATTTTTTTCAAAGCCCGCAATGTACAGCGTGTTCGACCTGGACATATTTTTTTTCATCAATCTATTCAGATCTTTTCAGTCAGGCTTCAGTTGTAAACTCGCTTCAACATTGGCTAACGTACTACCTTTTATTCTCGTTTGTTTAGATTTCTGTTAGACTCCGAATACATTTTCTTCCGAACACGGCTTCAATTCGCTTGCGGAACTCTCTCTGGTCACTGGGTTCATGACCC